CCTGAGAATTAGAGGAGGTCACCCGTCAGCTCAGTGGGTTGGGTGCTCTCCTGGTGACAGATGACCTGTGGCTCTGGGCGCCACCTCCTAAAGTGGAAAACTTAAAAAAATGGGTCCCTCCCTGGTGGCTCAGGGGATTAAAGCACAGCACTAAGAAGTTAAAGCCCCTTCAGCATGAGTTAAATCCCTGCCTGCCCCAGAGGAGATCCACATGGTGTGGCAGACCTCTCCTGACCTGCCAGCTGCCTGCTGCTCCCCTCAGCAGTGTACTTCGTCAGTCAGCCTGTTCTGCTCCCCACTCTGTCTCTGGTGAATCCTCTCTCCGCCCCTGCACCCCTGGCCTGTACTCCAGTTCTGTATGCATAAATAAATCTAAAAAAAAAAGTCAGGGTTACTTAGAGATATTCACAGTTATTCACACAGAATCGTGGTAAAAATGAACATTCATTACAACACTTGTGCTCAGTTACTTATTGTGGAATGTGGTGTGGCGAGATGGTTGTCTCTGATAGTGGGGTTGTGTGTGCCTTTTTCTTTTTTCTGGTTACCACAGATATTAGTAAAGAAAACACAGGACTTTATTTTTCTCTCTAAATTAGAACTTGAATTTCACAGAGGAAACATTATCTACCCACTCACAGGTGGGTTTTATTGGCCTGCATATTGTCAGAGGACGTGAGTTTTATAACTGACTGGGTTTCTGTCCAGAAATTCACAGGGAGGATGTCTGTGGCCCAGTTTCAGTGAGTGTGTGGAATTTCGTGTGTATCACTAGCCTCATTCCTGGCTCTGCTCGCTCTCTCTGGCCTTGTTTTTCTTTATCCTTTATCTTTCTTACCTACTTGTAATGTCATTTGATCATACTTATGTGTCACTATGTAATTTCTGAGCAGGTTTTGGTAAAAGTAATATAGATTGGGTCATAGCGTAAGCATCCTTCTAGTTCATGGTTTTTTCACCTTATTTTTTAAAATATCAAATAATTTTACTGCTTGAACAAATCCCCTATGTCTACATAGGAGCTAAAACAAACAAACAAACAAACAAAAACAAAAAAAATGAAACTGTGAATATAAGAATATTATATGGGAAGGCTAGAAAACTTAGAAATCAGGATGACGATAAGCAGGCCATTGGTCATTATCAATTCTAGATTTTCTTCAAATGCCTTATCTCTATTTTTTAATACAAATGAAATCATAATGTCTGGATAATTAATGTTGTATCCCCCTTTTTATCTTAAAAACTATATTGAAGCACATTTTGTCATTCTTACAGACATGGTTTCTGAAAATTACAGAGTAAATCTACATAATATCTTAAGAGATCTTTGTTGCTAAACATTCAAGCAGCTCTGCCTTTCTTATTACTTTTTTTTTTTAATTGACCTAACCTGGGTATACAACACTGTATGTGTGTGACTTGGGGACACAGGAGTATGCCTCCTCACACTCTTGCTATTTTAAATAAGATAGCAGTGAGCTACAGGTTATCTTTGCCAAAGTTTAAAAATTACTACTTTCTAGTGGTAGAATCTCAGAAGCAGAAGAGTAGTACTTGAAGACATAAATATAAAAAGCCACTAATAAAGAAGAAACTACAGGTGAAGTGTTATTAAATTTAGCAAGACAGGGCTCTCCCTGCTGGTCCAACAAATTAGAGCACAGCACTGCGAAGGTGTTAAGCTACACTGCAACACAAGTTCGATCCCCAGCCAAGGAGGTGACCCACATGGCACAGCAGACCTCTCCTGCCTGCCTGCTACTCCCCTCAGCAGTGTATTTCAGTCAGTCTGCCTATTCTGCTGCCCACTCTGTCTCTAGTGATTCCTCTCAAACCCCACACCTCTGGCCTGTTCCGTATGCATAAATAAATAAAAATAAATCTTAAAAAAAAAGCAACAAACATTTGAAAGGCTGTTCAACCCCGTTGGTCATTAAATAAAAGCAAAAACAAAAGAGATTGTTACTTTTCATTTACAATTCCACCAAGATAAACAGTATTGAAAATACGTGATAAGGTCTATTTCTGGAAACCATGCACTCTTTCATCCAAAAATTCAGTCTTTAGGATTTACTTCAAGAAAACAATGTTTGCTATAACATTGTTTATAATTGAAAAGTTGGAAACAAGTTGGGATTTGGCTTAATGATGATATAGCCACTCATTGGAATAATATATATGTGTTAAAACAATTAAAGATAAATAGAAAATATGAGCAAATGATTGATTAGCTATGCTAAGAAAAAATATAGGAAGATATAATGCTGTGTCTGTCAGTATTTGAGGGATTATGTCTGGTCTTTTGTTTTTTAAATATTTATTTATTTATGTATACAGAGCTGGAGTACAGGCCAGAGGTGCAGGGGTGGTGAGAGGCTTCACCAGAGACAGAGTGGGGAGTGGAACAGGCCAATTGATGAGGTACACTGTGAGGGGAGCAGCGGGCAGGTCAGGAGAGGTCTGCCGCACCACATGGGTCACCTCTGGGGTGGGGATTGAACTCATGCTGAAAGAGCTTTAGTTTCTTAGTGCTGTGCTTTAACCTGCGCCACCAGAGAGGCCTGATCTTTTATTATTTATTTATTTTTCCTTAAGTTTTTAAGTAAGTTCCTCAAAAGTAAAACTAGTTAGAGCAAAAAAAAAAAAATGTTTTATCATACTGCTTTTTGTAGTTATTAAATTCTGATTGCAAAGTTCAACATCTAACTATTAAATTCTGATTTCAGAGTAGAAATGTTATAGCAACTATGATTCATGAAGTGAATTTGTGAAAGTGTCATCAAAAAGGTGATTTATTGTATTATTGAGGAAGGCAAAATAAAGAGACCTCCATCAGTTCTGGTTACTGTGAATTAGAATTGCTTTCATTTGTCACTTTTTAAAATCTGCCTTTCTTGGGCTCATAATCATCAGCAGTCATCAGACACAGTCTTCTAGAAGCTGAGTGGGGTCATGAAGAGCTTCTTCTGTTCTTACTGTTGAGGACGCTGAGGCCCCCAGAGTCTTAGTGGCATCTCAGGGCATGGTAAGGGCCCCGATTACGAGGGTGGCAGTTCTGCCTGGCTGCTTTGAAAGGAATGTCAGGCTTCCTGACCCCACTATTTTATCACCCTTACTCAGGCTTCCTGACCCCACTATTTTATCACCTCACCCTTATTCTTGATAGCCTAACAGCAGTGATTTGTTCTTTGGGTTTAAGTATATTCTCCCCTCTCTAGCTTTACACTACTAATTCTTTAGGGGGAGGGGTATCTTCTAATAACTCACAAATACCTAAATTAAATTTTTCACATGACCCCCACCTGCACCTTACTGGTCATAGGAGATGGTTGTTTTATGGGCAAGGCAGTGTGTAGAACTTTGAAAATAGGGAACCCATGGCCAAATTCTTTAACTCACAAATTTGCTCAGTCGCTGAGCAAAATTGCTTCTGGGGAAGATGAAATTATAAGCTTCATTGCCAAAGCTGTTCAGTTTTTCTTTGATGGATTTTTTTTTTACATCATTCTTCATTTTGTGCATTTTTTCATCTCAGTTGTAATCCCCATGGACTTCCCACCACCAATTCACTCGTGCCATCACCATAGTCTATCTACTCTTCCCACCCCAGTTTTGATCCTATTCCCCTTTTAACCCCCCCCAATGTCTCTAGTTATAGTTGTTCATTGTTTTTCATTTTTACTTTATTACAGTTGCATCCGCCCCTCCCCCTATCCCTTATGCTCCTGCTCTGAGCGAAACCATCTGGTATTTTTCTTTCTTTCTGGCTTATTTCACTAAGCATGATCCCTTCCAGTTCCATCATGTTGCTGCAAAAGGCATTGGTTTCTCATTTTTGATTGCTGAGTAATACTCCTTTGTGTATATGTACCACATCTTTTTAATCCAGTCTTCTATTTTTGGGCATTTGGGTTGACTCCACATCTTCCCTATTATAAATAGAGTGGCAGTAAACACGGGGGCACATGTGTCCTTTTGAGTCCAGTTTTTGTGTCCTTCGTGCATATACCTAGGAGTGGGATTGCTGGGACCTATGGAAGCTCCATTTTTAGCAGTTTGAGGAACCTCCATAACCATAACCAGTTTGCATTCCCACCAACAGTGTAGGAAAGTGATGGATGTGTTTTTAAGATTGGTTTTGGTGTTGTGGATTAAAACAGACTTTTGGCTTGAAAAATAAATTTGCAAAATGTATTGAGCCATTTTTTTTCTTGTACTTTAATTTCTGAGAACTGTGACTGTCAGAGTAATAATACCCTCGAAGGAAAAAATGATTTATCTGAGATACAGTTTTAGTTTGGGGCAAATTAAAAACCTTGTTTGGGTATAAATTGTTTATTTATTAAACTTTAGTTTTCATTACTAAAGTGCTGTCTTCACATTTCAGAAAACTTAAATTCTGAAAGGACATGCACTTAATATTTTTTGTAGTACAATTGTGTTATGGTATTTACTTCAGATGTTTCAGTTTATACCTCTAGTATACTGTTTCAAGATTGTGATTCTGCCAGAGTATGACAAATAACGCAAACAAAAATTTTCTGTTTCCATCTAATCTGTTTCCTAAATGATCTGCAGTCTCTTTGTTCCCCTCTGTTTTTGGCAACACTGGTCAGCACATGTAGCAGAAGTTGGAGAATTAATTTCTTTTAACATTTTGCTTCAGTGACATATCCTCAGTGGAATTACTCTAAAATTCGCTAAGTTTGGAAATGAATCAACCGTTCCTAAACAATTCTGAGGGATAGCTGGGTTCCATTTCCTGGGGGCAGGAAAAAAACTTGAGTTTTTTCATTCTAGATCCTTAAATTTTTCAGAGGACCCAGGGGCCCAGACTCATCATTCTGTGTTGGCAGACTCTACTATTTGGCTGATGTGTTTTGTGGCAAGGAAAGTATATTCTTGCCCAGTTTGGGCAAGAGAACTTTTTCCTTCCCTTCTGCCAAAATATGCTACTCTCCCGTATGCTTATTTTGTTCCACTCTTCTTATTTGCAGAGTACCCGTGTGGAGTTCGACTTGCCAGAATATTCTGTTCGCCGAAGATATCAGGATTTTGACTGGTTGAGAAACAAACTAGAAGAATCCCAGCCCACTCACCTCATCCCGGTAGGTACTAAGTCACTGCAACTTGCTATTCGTATTTCCTGCGTTATCTTTCTCGAGGTTGTTCACTCAGCTTTCAACCCTCGCATGTAAGCTCTGCCTTGTGTCTCATCCCAGATTAATCCATCAAATATATAGAAAAGACATTTATGAATACTGTACAGCACATTTCACATTTGGGGTTTTGCTTTCCAGCATGCCAGTTTCTGGTGTGGGGTAGATTTTCAGTATGACAGTTAATGTTGGGGGGTTAGAGTGTCCTAATTCTTACTTCCTGCCTCTTTAAAGACGTCAGCTTTGCCCTTTGTAGATACCGTCTTTGATGTTTGGGTAGCTGCCCCCCAGGTCAGAAAGATGCCTCTGATTGCAGTCCACTGGGTTTTCTTTGGATGTAGGGGGTCCAGGGTCCAAGGGCCTGGGGCACCCACCATTCAGCCATAGCACTTCTTTCAAAATACAGATTCAAAAGCCATGTAACCTGTTGAAACAGCATCTTGTTTATTTCTTTTATCAACACATTTTTTTTTTA